GCACCAGGCGAACCTGGGCAAATGTCCCCCTGGTCACAGCTGACAAGTGATGGTCTAATTTCAGCTGTGGGTCCAGGAGGACTCCCAAGTTGCGGACCCTGTCTGAGGGGTATAAATTTTGTCCCCCCAGCCTGATTGATGGAACATTAGCCAAATTATTGGGAGGAAAACACAACAGCCACTCGGTCTTTTCCGGGTTGAGCACCAGTTTGTTAGCTCTCATCCAGTCTTTGACAGCCTCAAGGCCTCGGTTCATCACTTCCACCGCTTCATTGAGTCTTAAAGTTCCCAAGTTTGGACACCCGTGCCTTCTGCCATTGGGGACAAATGGCTGGATCAGGAAGAGCAAATCTTTTCTCCATAGGAGGAGGAAGGAAAGGCAAGGTGAGGAGGGGTGGGGTGGGCTTGAAGCACCCACCGAAGGCTGAGACAAACAGGGGAGAGGGCCGGTGGGCCACACCAACTCCCACCCTCCACGTGCGAGGCCGTTCGCACATCTGCTGCAACGCCAGTGCCACGTGGAGATCCTGGGACAGATGGGAGGAAGAAGGGGGGGGAGAGGCTAAAAAAAACACCAATCTGGGATATTGGAAAAGGGGGCGGGGCTAAAGCAGAAGGAGGGGCCGAAGAGAGCAACGTCCCAGTTCTTTCTGCAGAAAAAGGGGAGAGAGCCACAGCCAAGGCCACCCCCCCCTCCCACTCACATTTGGTTTCTCCCAGGGGCCACTGATAAAAGGAGTAAAAGGGGGGGGGTCCCAAGCAGGAGGGGCTCTTGATGGAGCCCCAAATTTAAAGTCTCTAAAGCCCCCCCCCAAGTGAGGGGGGGGGCTTTAGAGACTTTAAAGCTTTAGAGACTCTAAAGCCCCCCCCCCCCAAGCCCTGTGAAGCCCACCCAACCAAGACTTGGCTTCAATCCAGGTTTTATTGGGGAGGGGGGCTCAAGGAGATATGGGGGGGGGGGTTGTGACGCAAGGAGAAGTGGGGGGTTTGGGGCAAGGAGATGGTGGTAAGGAAAATGCTCCCCCCTCTCGATCCAGGGAAGCGAGGGCTGAGACCTGGGTCAGAAGGGCACGTGAGGACACGGGAGGGGCGCCCCATTCAAACGCGGCCCAAACGGCCAGAAGACCCTCGCGCCCCTCCACATTCCTCCCTGCCCGGCCCAAGAGTCCCCCCCTTTCCTGCCAGCAATCAGGACCCCTCCCCTCGCCCCCTCCCCACAGCCAAGCCGGAGGAGAGCGACCCTCGGCCAGGACGCCGGGCACTTCCAAGCCCTCCCCCGGGACTTGCCCGCTGCAAAGCCCCCCTCCCCTCCTGGACGGCCACAACCGGACCCAGAGGCGGCCGGAGCCCCGCAAAGAAAAGAGGGCGGAGGAGAAACCCCGTCGGGGCCGCCAGGCGGAGGAGCCTTTGCAGGCAGAGCCAGCGGGACGCGTGTCAGCCTCGCAGCCGGTCGTGGGAAGCGGCCCCCAGGCAGCTCCGGGGGACAGAAGGAGCCGAGAGGGCTCGGAAAGTCACTAAGCGGGACACAGCCCCCCCCCCCACACACACAGACCCGGGATTCTCCCTTCCCCGGACGTCCCTGTGCGAGGACTTGGCTCCTGCTTGGGAAGGGCGAGGGCGCCGCGGGGCATGTGCAAAGCGCCCTCCTTCTCTTTGCGCGCCCCCCCCCCGCTCCACCCTTCTCCCGCCGCAGGCTCACCGGGCAGCTGGACGTAAAGCGAGGCGAAGGCGGCCAGGAAGGCGGCGGCCAAGCCGCGCAGGAAGAGCTGCCGGGCCAAGCGAGGCGCCTCCGAGCCCATCGCCGCTTCTTCTTCTCCTCCTCCCTCCCTTCTTCGCGCGCGAGACGCTCGCCTGGCTACAATGTAGCCAAAGGGGGCGGGGCGGACAGCGCGCGGCGTCACCAGCGTCGCCCGCGAGAAGGGCGGACGGCGCGTGACGTCACCGACCGCGCGCCTCCACCCCCCCTCCTCCTCCGCGTCGCGCGCCGATGGCGTCAGAGCCCCGGGCGGGAAAAACAAAACGGCCGTCGCTGCCTCGGCCGCCGCCGCCGCCGCCATGGAGGACGCGGAGTCTCGCTTCCAGCACTTCCTGCAGCCCATCCGGGACCTGACCAAGAACTGGGAGGTGGACGTGGCCTCGCAGCTGGGGGAGTACCTGGAGGAGGTAGGAGGGGGGGGGAGTTGGCGAAAGTGGGGGGGGGGGGGTGGGCGTGGGGGGGGGGGGGGGGGAAGTCCTCGCACAACGGCCGACTGGATTGTGACCGCCGCTCCCCTCCCTCCCCCCCTNGGGTGTCAAACTCAAGGCCCAGGGCCGAGATCTGGCCCATGGGGCCGCCCTGGAAATAGTGAAAGACCGACCCGCGGTTCCTCTGCCAGCAAAAGTGGGAGGGCCACTGAGGGCCCTCCTGAGCTGTTTTCGCTGGCAGAGATCTCAAGCCACTGTAGACACACAGACAAAAGTGATGTCAAGCTGGCCATACCCACCCTGGCCACAGCCCTCCCGGCCCCCCAAGGTCAAACACAACCATGATGCGGTTCTCAATGAAATTGAGTTTGACACCCCTGGCATATAGGGTATACCAGCCTTTCTAGTTAGATTTTTTTCCTTTTGACCATCAGATGGAATGCAAAGGAATTCTGGATTATTATTATTTTTTGGTCAACATTGTGAGAGCACTAAAATGGGGCAGAATCACAACTGATGATGGTAGCTAACTAGCTGCGGCTGATCTCAACAAAACTACATAGGGTCAGCCCTACTTGGAGAAAAGGAATATAAGAAATCTCAAGACTAGAGTAGAAATTGAAAAACAAAACATACTGGAAAAAAGGAGGGGATGGAACACACCACTTCATTCTTTTTGCCAAGAAATATTTCTTCAGGCAACTCATGCTTAAACTATGGAATTTGCTTCTAGAAGATATATAGACCATGGCCATTAACACAGATGGCTTTAAAATATGGTATGATTCTATAAACACTCTTATGTTATTCTCCATAAATCTGTCTCTCAACAGTTGTCTGGTGACAGATGAATCATATGTATTGGAAAAAGTAATAGAAACAATCACCAGAATTTCAACAATTGCTAGGATTCAAAAACAGCCTCTCTCTCTATAGGAACAGTATTCAAACTCTCTTGCATGTTCTCCTCCTCCTTGTGCTAGGTAACTACTTGGCAACAAGCCATGTTCTTTCTAACTGCCCTTTATTTGTGCAATCAGTAGATCTGTTATCATAGTTTATTTTTTCTGACTGGGTGAGAACTAACTTTCATACTAGCTACTAATCACAAATTATGATTTCCCTCAATTTGAACTCAACTTCTGATGACTTCATGGCTCTCTCCATAAAGTTTTCTTAGCAACAGTAAGGAAATAGTTTCCCATTGCTTCTTCTGGGATTACCCAGGGTAATCTTTGTATTCTCAGGATGATTTCTATTCAGGCCTCATCAGGCCTGATCCTGCTAATATTCTGAGCTCAGACAAGATCAACCAGGTGCTGCCACCTGCTGAGACAATGGAGACATATGGCTCTCCATATGATTGTTGGGAGTGAGAATTGAGCTTATTTCCTTGTGAATGCCACATCAATATTTATTATTATTATGGTTGGAATGTTTATCCACCTATCAGATTCTTCCCAAGGACTAGGGATAGGCAGATGTTTTTGTTTGATAGTGTCAAATGTATCGTCACAAGATGTGAAGCTGCCTTTTGCAATGACTGATGATGATTTTGTCAATGCCGATGGTATTCAAGCAGTGCTTCAGATATTTTGGGATTTGCACCAGTGGTGGGTTCCGGATCCCGTTGCAACCAGTACGCTGCAACGGGGCCGGGCATCTACCATGTGCATGCGTACTTACCGCCCGCGACGTTCCAGCTGCTTATGCTCTGTGCGCGAAAGCCCCGATCGACTCAAATACAGGTAAGGAGGGTGGGCAGGTGGGCCCTCCGGAGCACTGTACCAGAACAGTACCTGGTGTTCCCAGCAGGCACCGGTACACCAGTACCGGGGCCTACTGGTCGTATCCCACCACTGATGTGCACCTAAAGGACTGATTACTGTTGGTACTATCTTTGCTTTCTTTTGCCACAATTGTTCGACTTCTATTTGCTATTCTTTGCATTTTTTATTTTTTCCAGTTCTTTCTCTAAGGTGATGATAATTATTAGTGGAATACAAACAACTGCAACACACTAAAAATACAGTTGTGGTTATAGAGTGAGAAAAGAATCTACAAACATTCCCATCAATAACTGGCAGGCCACTGTTAAAAACCAAGATGCTTGACTACATAGGGTTTTAAACTAATTTAACATGGTTATACAGGTAGTTCCTCGACTTGCAACAGTTCATTTCGTGATTGTTCAGAGTTACAATGCAC